GCGAATTAAGTATCATGTGGAAAGACCGCCAAAAAGCTTCCCTCGTTAGTTGTATACAATATAGAGCAAATTAGGGTTCTTAATCGTTATTGTAGAAACGGCAAAAGTTTAAGGAGGGTTCGAGCTCTCATATAGCTCTCCAGAATGAATACTCAATGGATAGAATTGCATCGTTAGGCTACTTCGAGCCGTTGAATATGAAATTCGCTCTCTACTGTAAGGGACCGGCCATAGGTTGCCAAAGTTGCCGATATTGCGGGCGTTTTTGGTAATTGTAGCTCTTCACAATAGCCTATGTGCTTTAATTATTCTCTGAGCGACAACTTGGGCAACCCCGCAACAGTTGCCGGCAACCCATGGCCGATCCTTAGAGGCAGCGTTCCCTCAAAATGATGGGTATCGGGATTAAACAGTGTTCCCATAGTAGGTCCTCCATATAGTCTATCTGTGAAGTATGGAGCGAAAAAGCGCTTTTGAAAAGTCCAAAATCCGCTCCGGTGGTCTTCCGGACCCCGCTGATTTCGACCTGTCCATTTCTTACATGTAATTTGCGAACGCTCCAAATTACATGTAAGAAGCTCGGAGAGCTTCGAAAAAAGCTCATTTTGCCAATTTCAAGCGCTGAAAAGCTCAGATATGGCTTCAGCATAGTGAGATGGCTCCGAAGAGGTGAAAAACGGGAAGCGAAATCTTATCGGGACAATGCCTTCAAGGGTTTTCATAACTCACTAGCTGGCATACCCGCCTCGGCCCGGTCCTGTCAAAACACTAGAAGAAGGTCACCATTCCTATTGCTGTATAACCGTTCTCTCTTACTTCTACATGTCAATCCCTTATCCTCTTTTTCTCGTAATCAGCATGATCAGCATGCCCACTTATCCCCTGTGCCAACTCCCACTCTCGTAACTCCAGATTTGCAAAAAAGGTCAATAAAATTGAAAATTAATAGATAATTCTGGAAAGTATTAATGTATTATAATCAGCATGCTCACCCCGACTGTGTCAATTCCCCACCCCTTAGCTCGAACTTCGCAAAAAAATCGATAATTTCAATAAATTTGGAAAACAATTTTGTATTGGTAATCAGCATGCTCACTGACCCCCGTGCCAACTCACCGTACGTCAAACAAATTTACAAAGAATCGGTAAAATCGATATCGTTCTATGAGGAAAAGTAGCCTGTGGGACCCGCTTCGCGCCGAAATTATGTGTGCAAAGTTTGGACTAGATCGGTATAGAAATAATATATCCAGAACTCACGTGCAGACAGACAGACACACACAAGCATACATACACAGACATTCAGCTCTATATAAAAGATGCCAGATAAACCGCAACAGCTTTTTGCAAACTTTTAAGCTTTTTGAATGGATAATACAATAATGATAATGTCATATTTGACATTCAAATTCAAGAAGTCAAAAGCGCTTGTGAAAAGTTGTCTTATGAAATCAACATGCCCGAAAGCATTGCTAAACAACTTCTAAGATTTTTTGAAACTTTTTTTTCAAGCGGCCTATTTTACAATAGCGTTGTATGCTGAAAGATCTTACCGTGACCATAACCTTACAGTAATCAAAATCGGTATTTTCGCGCTGTACTGTAAATCTTAATTGAAACCAGCTCTACAGAAAGATCATAAAAGCAAAAAACTTTGGAAAATATATTAACTCTCAAAAATGTGTATCTACTTTGGGACACTATGCATTACAAGGATATTGCTGTAATAGCTTCAAAAAAAGACAAAGATTATCTGCAAGCTTTTGAGTGTAGGTATTGTGCACGAGTATCTTGTGGACCTGGTAACTAACATTTAGTTTTGAACCAGAAGAAAATTTCGTTCAAAAACCTCATCACAAGGAGAGTATTGAATTGGCACCTAAGTTTTGTTTCCCCTTGGTTATATCGTGCGTAAACATTGGCTAAATATATTGTTATTTGGGCCATAATGATGCATAAACCATTTGACCTTTGGTCATAAAGCGGAAAAAGTCCTAGCATCTTTGAAAACTGATGAAATCATTTTACGGTTCTGAAGTAAAAATGAAACCAAACACAACCTAAATTAAGCACAAAGAGAAGGAATTGGGCAGCGGCGTTGCTGTATGTTGACTCACTAAGCTCCAGGAAAGGAACAGAATTTGAAACAAGTTGTCCAGCGCTTTCCAGGAATTTAACGAGTGGAATGCATCAATTGTTAAGTACGACTTTAAGGTACCATTCTTCAAAAAAAATCAAACAGGGAAGGAGCCCATGGAGTTAACAATTGAAGTAGTGATGTAAAACGTAAACGCGTCTTTGAAAGGCTAATTCTACATAACTTTCTTCCGTGGAACAGTTGTTCGAAAGAAGTTTTGGACGTTTAAAAGTCTGGCTTTTTCAAGCCTCACGTATTATAAAATTAGCGAAAAGTTGTACAAAAACACCACATAAGTTCTTAACAAGTACTGACTAGGAGGAAGGAACGCACGAAGCTATAGACGTTTTTGTACAGCTCTTCTCTATTTTTATGCTACTCCAAACTCGACATTATTTCAATCTCTCATAACTTCTTTCGTAAGATCACTCCGCAAAAGTGAAGGCAGATTTGAAATTAGCGTATGAACGCACGTCTAATGATATAGTAGTTTCTCTTCAATCGCCAACTTAGCGAAAAAGCCAAGTAAGCGAAGAAGATAGAAGATGAGTTTTTTCCTGATCTGCTTAGATTGATATTTTTCCCTTACAGGGAGCGACGTGTTACTGGACCTGCTAAACAGAAACATAATCAATCTGCAACCGTATATGCATTTGGGAGAAACATCAGATCGGCACTTGAGTGTTGCAATTTTTTATATGGATTCTGTCTTTTTGCGCCGCTTCATTATTTGGTAACACAGATTATGATAAAGAGCTACGAATGCAGCACTTCTGCCGAATTTGGCCGTCGCATGTAAGAGTGTAGGTTAAGAAAAAATTTCTCTGAGTTATTCTTGCAGGCAGCGCGGTATTCAAGGCCAAGAAAAGTGTGCAAAACTTTAGCGTTGGACTTTCGCTTTTGAAATAAATAAAAAAATCCCCCCTCCCGAATTGTGCATAGGCCCCCACTCCCGAGTTGGGCCTAGTTTCTTAAGCGTGCTTTCTGGCAGCTTTCCAGAATTATCAGTCAACAGAAAGCTAAAATCTTTTCTAAAAATAATAATAGTCAATAAATATAATCACTTTGTGAAAAGCACTAGTTATTTGACAAAATGATTATTTGGAATTTCTGCATACCAATAACATGACAAAAATGAGCAAAATCAAGAAAGCCATCCGCTATATTCCCATAATATTGAAGAAATGTCTGCCGTCGTGTGTATACATAGCAGCAACGACGCTTTGATCTCATTTTGTACACGACGGTGACATCAACGGCATGTCAACAGTTAAGCTGGGTAGTTGCCAGTTTCTAAGGTAAAGCTGCAGAGATTTGTAATTGCGGAAACGATCTCCAAAGATTTGATAATCATTTAGTCATGTATATTGAAATGTCAAATTGCGAAAATCTGCTACTGAAATAGAGGAAAGAAGCAGAAAACAGCACCTACAAGAGTAGCGTAACCAAGCAGCAGTCCTCAATATTAATAGGCGCTTGGTTTGAACACAGCACATCCTAAACGTTTTGCACCCGTTTGTTAGTTCCTCAGGTTGCCTTCTCCGCAAAGCTGCAATCTATTGTATTTTTCACGAGTGCCTATTAAAGAGCCTCTATGGTAATGATAAAGCATCGTGTTCTTGCGATTTCAAACATGTCATACCATACAGAACAGAGAGTTCTTTTCATTCCGTTTGAAAAGTGAGATCAATCATGTAACTGTACTACAGTATCATTGCTGCAATATAGCACTTTCACACACATATACTATTGCGCGCTTTGATGGCTTTGAAAATTTGTAGCGCAACTTCTTCGGAGAAAACGTTGTGTTGTCTTCATCAGAGATCAGAAGACATAACAAAAACTTTCTTACAGCAACACTTCGGATAAATTTTGAATATCTTCGTCTCTCCCCCCCCCCCATTTTTTTTCACCTGTACCTAATTTTCCCCCAAAAATGCGAAGGCAGAGAGAGAGATACACACCAGTGGCGGACCGAGGTAGGGGGCGAAGAGGGTTGGGAGGAGAATGGGTCGCAAGATTTTTGGAAGCTACTTACATGAGTTATAAAATGTGCAATTGACTTCTTATTACTTCTGAATAATTGAAAAAATTTCAAGATTTTTTGAAAAATTCAAATTAGCTCCCCAAAATTTTTTTGAAACGCTAGGCTGATGCCTAGCACCTCCAACCGAAAATCTTCATCGTCATTCTGAACGAAAATGCTGGAACCGCCACTGGTACATTGAAAACTCCTCGTAAAAAAAGCCAAGTGTGCACAGATATAATTTACATTATGTTAAAAGTTATAGTAATCTCATCTTATGGCACTTCAGTAAGAAAAATGCATAAGAGGCTTTCGGTGTCTCGAAAAATGTGAAGAAGAAGCTTTCAGCAAATAAAAGAGATGGAGTTAGGTTTATGGGCTCAAAAAGGTCAAGTTTTAAGAAAACTAGATTTAGCACCTGTACTGCTCTTGGATTTTCTGATTGTTCTGCCCGTAGTTTCGTGTTAGAAAAAAAATTGTGTATTATCTCTACCCCTTATTGGAACAAAGTATAGGACATATATGAACAGCTTTGAGGTTTATTAAAACATCTTTTTGGAAAAACACATGCACATGTGCGCATTTTTGTATTCAGAACTACCATAACAAGCATTCTCGAAGAGAAAATTTGGCATAGTTCATCCATTAACCCAACAAAAAGGCACACTAAACTAGTCAGTTAGTTGCATTAGGCATCTATCACGTCGGCGAGCTTAACAATAATCCTGCTTATCCAGCAATTGAGAGATAGACGAAATTGAGCTTCGCAAAAAAAACATGCCGAACCACACTAATAAGCAGCCCACACAACCACGAAGAGTAGTACAAAAGCCGACGAATTCCACTCACAGTGTTCCAATCGACAAACATGAGTTCAATCAACATTTTCTTGATGGTAAGTTTGACATTCCCCCTACAGCCTCGCAACATGCTTGAGCCGTAGATTCAGATGATGGCAGCTTTGGCCGCGCCAGCGACTACAGCAACAACCGTACCCAGCTATCCTGGAGTATTGCCTGAAGGTATGTCCAAGAAAAAGTGAAAGAGATAGAAAGAAACAGAATAATTAGAGGGGACTAGAATATAGTGGCGCAAATTCAGACAATCAAAACAGTTTTCCAAGGTGTGTCAATTCAAACACTTTACCCCTGTATCCTTCTCCATCCTTTAACCATAACAGAGTGCTTGGATTGTAATTAAACTGTGGCTCAGAACTTTTTGGGGGATTTCTCGATCATAGTACCTGCAATGATAGAACGGTCTCATTAACAAAATTTCATGTCCAGATCTTGTCCTCGTCTTTTGACAGGAAAGGGAGAACGATCGTATTTTCTCGCAGTTTGAATTGTCCCGATTTTTCATCGATAGCTACTGTGAGCAAGTAGCGGAATTGCTGATCTGCAGTATATCGCATGAAATCACCTACTTGTGATACGCATAATTATGCGCTTCTACGCTTAAGAAGATAGTGTTAGTAAGAAGCATCGCATGGATCACCATGAAAGGTGATGTTCGAGCTAGGTAGAAATTCCTGTTATGCAAAACAGACATTCCAATTATGGCATTTCTTATTCTTAACGTAAAACCCTTCCATCGATTGCTGGTGATCAATATTCTGCTCTCACACTTTTCTTCAAGTAGTAACCTAGTTAGCAGGAAAGTTAGCAAAGATTGCTTGAAAGATAGCTTCGTAAGCACTCCTTGCTATCTGTCCTGCTAACTAGGTTACTACTTGAAGAAAGTGTACGAGCGCAGTACAAACTGGTTATCAAGATAACCAGCTTGTTCACCGCTGCCCTTAGATGTACGCAATTTCTCTGCTATTCGCATGCATTCTATTGCTCACATAATCGCGGAAAACGCATCAATGCTGACCACGGATAAATTGTAAAGTCATTACGAAAGCTTTTCATGTAAGATGGGTAACTTTTGCAGCAAAAGACCTCCTTGCAGATAAACAAATGCAAGTTTGAACCATTCACTACATTTAATATGGCCTAATACTTCTAGTATTGACCACATTGCTACGTTTTTGAGCAAGCTCCTCAAATTCTCAGAAAATTCTCAACAGATAGGCTATCTACGCAGATATACCTTTTGCTACGTTTTTGAGCAAGTTCCTTGAATTCTCAGAAAATCCTCAACAAATAGGCTATTTATGCAAATACACCTCCTGCCGTTTTCGCGAGAAAAATGAATTCTGTAACGTTGGTGGCTCGAGACACACATGTCAAGCATATTCTTAAATTTGCAGAAAGGCTAGTCGACACTCAGGCTTTTGCAGACTAGGAAGCCATGTGGACCCGTTTGACGCCTAATTGCAATAGGATACACGTGTCAGTTCTTTGTACTGGTAACCTCGCATGCTGGTAGCGTTATGCAAAAATTTGGCCCAAAAGTTCGGGTGAAATCATAATTTCCGTGACCGACAGTTCGCAACGATGACCAAAAGACGGACTCAAAGAGATAGCTCGAGTAAGATTTTGAAACGAAGCTCTACTTGATTTTGTAAAAATCTTACAAGGCCACTTCAACATTTTTCGACATCCCCCTCTCACTAGTTCTCACTGGTCCTTTTTGCTTGTGCTGTCGCGCACCGTAGGATAAATAGATAACGGTAAAAATCTCCGCTTACATTTATCAAAAAAAAGAATTTACTTTTATTATTCTTTGCACCATGTGCCGAACTCATTTTACTCCATGGTCGGAAGCCTAAAATCCACCGGATAGCCAGATGGACACTAATCAACGCATTTTTAGTACTTTATGATGTTCTAGGAGCAATTCAAACTTCTAACAAGACGTATGATTGTCCCTAGTGTTGCTTGATTTTATCTAAAATATCTGTAGAAAATAAGTGTTGGAGGTCAAGAACTTATGAAAAAGCATCTGATAGTGTTTTCTTGTAAATTTCAATCAAGTTTTCACCACAACCTCCAAACTTAGCAAATGATAGCTTCAGATAGTTAGCAAGCTGGAGCACTTTGCCTCTGGTATCATAAAAGACTCATGTAAGCTCTAAATTGGGCCGTCAAGTTGGTGACTTTTATAGAAATCGCTCCTCTTCGTTTCTTCCTGAGATCGATGACAAACATGTACGATAAGGGAACCTAAAACGAGAAGAGGGTTAAGGCAAACATATTCAGCATCGAATGTGGTTTGCTTAAAGGTCGGCTTTGTGATCGGAGCATATTGCGCCGCCAGTAAAAAATTTTTGAGGGCTCTAAGAAAGCGAGGAAACATCATGAAACAGTTTTATTCTCGTGTAGATTTTTTACGTGAAGGTTGAGCACGGCCTTCATTCACAAAAGTTGCCATGGATTTTCGGACCATTCCTCGATTCCCTCAAGCGCATACGCTCACCAGTTATAGTAACATACCGTTGGTTACAAACAAAGCATTCTTTTGTTTTTGGGGTGGAGCATGATACCTGCATAGTGGCATGCTCTACCATGCCACCGGCGGCATGAGGCTCCCCTTCTATCCGAACCCCCAACCTCCCTCCCCCCCCCCCTTTCCCCAGAAAGTTCTGTGTCTCAGTGTGGTGCTGAAGATGCCTATTTTGATGTAGTGAAGAAACTCGAATTTCCTGCTCAAGCAACCGAAATTTAAAAATCGAATCAAGCTGATTGACTTCTCAAATTCTCGAATAATTGCTATTACAGGAACAAACACCGTATGCAAAGATAATATTGGAATGACCGACGAACTCAGAACGAAATTTCTTGACGAACACAATTATAGAAGGTCCATATTCAGTTTATTAGGAATGTAGTCACAGAATTTTATCTTCATATCGCTTTCATTGCAATTGCAAATGCAATTTCCAGAAGCTTGCTAGCAAACGGACGAGTCCAGAAATATGGCAATAAGACCCTACCACAGGGAGGAGATATTCTGAAATTGGTGATGTTATACTAAACACTAATTTACACTTTCACATTAAAAGGGAGTTCTAGAGGTATGATTGTGAACTGGAGAAAGCCGCTATTGAAGAGGTCCGACAATGTCTTACTTCCAAGACAGCGGATAAAAACTATGGTAAAAACTTTGACAATTTCACGTCCAGCACTACCACGCCAACTTATCAAGATGCAATAAATACGGTATATTTTCCAACCTTCAAGATTCTGCAAATGCTTTTAAAATGTGAAAAAAGGCTATAAATGACTGGTGGGATGTTGTAAATTCTGATCGCGAAGGCCCAACGACTTCTTTGAAATTTCTCCAAAAACATGTTGGTACTGCTATAGAATCCTTCACTCAGGTAGGTATTTGTATAAAGCTTCAAAATCTGTCGTGCGAAGACAAGGCAAGTACTAGCTTAAAAGTAAACCGTAATCCTAAATAAATCAAAATGTTTTTATTTCCTAGCAGACTTGGGGTGTTACTCGATAGAGCAAAGCAGATTCTGCAGAAAGGCCACCAAAGATCCACCGAAGTCGTAATCTAGGTAAAATTTGGAACCGAAACTTAAAAATTTTCAACTACCCTAAAAAACTGATCTCCTTTTAGAAAACTCCTAGCGATCTCCAACTTGGTCATTATGTAATAAACACAAAGATGTACCCAAAAATGTATTTGGTGGATTTTTTCCGGTGCTCAAAATCGAGAAAATATAGTCCGAAAACGCAAAAATGTCACTTTACGAGTTTTTACTACGTAATTCCCGCTTATTAGGTCACAAACGGAGGTAGAATTCTGAGATCGTACTAACTAAGGCTTGTGGTATACACATATGTGGGAGGAGCTGGGGTGGAGTTTGCCATTTTTGGACTTTCATTTTTCTCAATTTCTATGCACGAAAAGATTCCAGAACCTACTACTATGTATCATTTACATAACAACCACTTTGGGGCTTCGTATAATTTATTTTTCGCAAAAATCCAACTTTTAGGTGGTAAAATTATTTCGGTTTTGGCTCCAAATTTTACCTGGATTACGACTTAAGCTGTTCATTGGTGGGTCACTATGTAGAGTTTGCTTCGCCCTATTGAATGGCCTAAGTATGCTAGGAAAACAAAAACATTTTAATTTATCAAGGAATACGGATTACTTTTGAGGCAAACTAATAGTTGAACTAACATGAAAAGACCTAACTTGTTTGTCTTTTTGAAAAGCGACACAGCATGAACCGCTGGTTTCATATGCTTATCACGCTGCGAAACATTACTCTGAAGCTATGAACTTTTTCTGAGCAGGATTTGCGTGTTGGCAGACTTACCAGTGTTACGGTATCATCGTATCAACGATTTTAGGGCATTACCCCAGAGCAAATCACACAATATAGAGTTACTTTGATATCCCACCATTTTTAGAGCAGCTTCTTATCTAAAAGCCGTCGTTCCATGATTTCATTTTCGAACAGATCCGGACCGAAAGGCAAACATATAGTTAGGGCGGGGAGCTACTTCTCGTTATTGATCGATACCGACTTTATCAATTTTTCGCAAATTTTGAGCACAGGGCTGGGAGTTGCAACGGGGGGGGGGGGGGGGTGGAGGTACAAATGACGAAAATTATTGACGGCCGGGCACGGCCGAGTTTGCCAGCTAGTTTGAAATAAACGTTTCAAGTCGCCGATCATATGCGTCGTTATTCGAAAGGTCAAACTAAGTTGAATGCCTTCCTTCGTAACTGAAAAAAAGATCCCTCGTCTATGCCTTACACAAAAATTTTTGTTTTCAACTTCGTCCATTCAGATGGCTTGGGCGAGTACTGCGAGACTTGGGTGTGCAATCTCCACCTGTAAGTCCTCCTACACCGTCATATGTCTGTATGATCCAAAGTATGCTGAGTGCTGACTTTGCTGTGTTTTATAAGTAATTTTTACAGAGGAAACATCGTAAATCAAGTGCTCTACAATAACTCAACCTCCGGCAAAGGGCGCGAACC